TGTTTTGACCCTGGAGGCAATTTTTTTTTTTTTTTGGGCTATATTGGACATTCATGCATGCAACATGAAGGATTTATTGGGGGGAGATCACTGTTGTAATTTTCCTTATTCGTTATAGTGAAAATTCTGCTGTAGTTAATGAGGGCGAGCAAACCACTATAAATCTAGATGTTTGCTTGTGTGTTTGCTTAATATTGAGCCCCCTGTTTGTTTCCCATTCTTTCAAAATTCTTTTTTGTACACACTCATTTTTACCCTCCCCCCACATTCACACAATAAAATATTCTATACGTAAACCTAAAACTTTTCCCTACTTTTTAATCACACATTCTCCAAAAATTCATTATTCAAAACAATGTTTTTCCCAAAAAATGGCCACCAAACAGGGGTATACTTAACACTGCCTGATATCTCAACTCTCTTTTTAATTGTTTTCTTTAGGTTGTTGGCACAGTGGGTTATGCGGCTCCTGAATACGTCCACACTGGCAGGCTCACTGCGAAAAGCGATGTATGGAGCTTCGGGGTAGTTCTCTATGAACTCATTACTGGCAGACGAGTGCTTGAGAGAAATTTGCCACGAGGTGAGCAGAAACTCTTGGAATGGGTAAGGCCATATGTTTCGGACCCAAAAAAATTCCACACGATTTTAGACCCAAGACTTGAAGAACAGACCAACATGAAATCTGCTCTAAAACTTGCATCCCTTGCGAACAAATGCCTCATGAAGCATCCTAAATCACGACCAAAAATGAGTGAGGTAGTCGAGATGCTTGGGAGCATCATCGATGCCTCATCACCTCAAGATGAATGTGTGCCCGAAACTGTGAAAGAAACTAAAAACGTTGAGGAAGAAACAGAGGAATCAGAACCGGGCAAACAGGAGAATAACCGAAAAAAGGGTTTTGATTTCAGAGAGATAGTCTTGAGAAACAGATCAATTGGGAAGTTAGATTGGAGAAACTGGACACCGGGTTTGGTAAGAACATGATATTTTATCGTATTCCTGCCGCCAAACAGGCTGATATTTTTGTGTTCTTTCCAAGAATCCAGATATTTACTGTGTATCCTATATATTGCATAGAGCTGTAAATATAGAATGTGCAGACTACTTTTTCGGGTCGAAATCTGAATTTATTATGTAGTCTGTAGTTGCAATGCACTCGAACTGCTTGTTATTTTGCTATAATGGTACTCTATATTTTTGAGTTACGAGATTTCTGAGAGGTTGAAGAGGATGGTGAAGTTGCCAAGCTTAGTTCAAATTGATGTGGCTGACCAATGGCAGCTGGCTGGTGTCTTACAATCCTCGTTTGAACTATTCGGCTATGTTTGGTATGTAGTTTTAGAGTAGTTATTAAAATCGGCCCGGTTGGGTCGGCTGAAACCCTCCAAACGGGATACATTCCAAGGCCAGTTTGCATATTTGACAGGGGAGCATAGAATCGCTCAAGAACCGGTTAAAAATCGACATAGCCGGTTTTAATTAAAACCTGGACGGTCAGCCAAACTGGACCGGCTCATTATTACGACACTTTATACACTTAAAATATAAAATGGTTAGAATTTGAACTTGATCCAACTATGTAGTACGCATTGATGCTCATCACCATGTTACTTGAACTCAATTAAGTGATCAATAATATATAATTTTTAAAAGATAGAAATTTAAAAGTTATATTCCTGTTAGGAGTTTTTATCTTTTATTTATTTAAAAAAAGTTTCTAAAGTCAACAAAATTAATGTAATTTTAAGAATAATACTAACATAAAATAATACTATTAGGAGATTAAAAAAAAAATTTTTGAGGCCAAAATATTAAAAAAAAAAAAAAAAAAATTGGGGAGTTGGAATGCGCGCCTAGGCGAGCATAGGCTCTCCTGATACGCGCCTATGCGCGCATTGTTCCGCATTGAGATGTCTAGGCGCGCCTAGACGGTCAACAAAAACCGTTGACTGCAGTTTTACGCGCATTACGCAATTTGATGCGTTTGCTACGCCCGTTGAGCCTAGGCGAGCATTTCCGCGCGTCTTCGACCACTACTTAAAAGTATGAACTAGCTTGAACTACTTATACAACGGTTGAACCAGTAGCTCGGTGAGCCAGTGGTCTAGGTCGATGAGGGGGTTAAATATAATAATATTGAATATTAGATTACACTGGACAATATAAAGTGTAAGGTTTTGACTAGTTTTGTCCATTTCGAATATTATATTTTTTATTCTTATGACTCAAATTCTCGTATGGCTTATTGTTTCACTAGATGAACATGTTGAAATGGTCATTCTCTGTCTCGAGGGAAGGGGTACTAAACAACAGAATGCACCTTTTGATAGGAAACTTAATCACAATTCTGTTACGTTTGAATTGAATATCAATGAGAATTTTACGAATATCTAAATAATTTTGGAATTTGCAAGAGTGAAGAATCCAATATGAAACATTTAGGGTCTGTTTGATTGTAATGGTGGAAAGAAAATGAATTACAGGAAAAGTATTGCCTAGAAAATATTTTGCAGGGAATTGTTAATTAAGTGTGTTTGATTGTTATAATTTTCCACCTGAAAAATTTTTAAATTTTGTGTTCGTTTGACTTTGTTTTATATGAAAATTGTTCACTAAAGTGATAATTATTTCCACAACTGGTTATAAAATTTATTTCCATTGCCAAAAAGTAAAAAAATAATAATATATTTCCTAAAAAATCATTTTTTTTTATCAAAGATTAGTGTTCGTTTGACTTTGTTTTACATGAAAACGATCCATTAAAGTGAAATTTTTTTTTTTACAACTGGTTATGAAATTTGTTTTCATTACAAAAAATAATAATAATAATAAAAAATTTCCGTCAGACTTCCCTAAATTGTAGGAAAAGGGGCGCGTGGAGAGAGGGGAGGAAAAAAAATTTCTTGGCCAAATTTTAGCAATCAAACACTACTTTTTGGTGAGGTTGGAAATTATGAAAATCCATTCCATCAAACATGGCCTTAGTTCTTAGTTCTAAGTTCTAGAACTAATTAATTGCAAGTGAAACCGAATGGAACTTGATTAAAAGTAAGTCAAATTACCTCTTTTAACTTGGTCAAACATGATTTTAGAACTTATTTTTACTATGATAAGTTACTCGAGAAGTAATAATAATAATAAAAGTAACTTTTAAAGTAAATCCAAACACCCTTGAGCCTTTCTATCCAAAATTTTCCTACAAATTCTAAGTAAATGAGCAAGTTATTCTTCAAAATTTTTATTAAAATTGTACAATCAATCTCCAATTATGAAAAGTCTAATATTATTTTCTATTTGAATAGTAAGTCCGAGATAAATTTACAATTTTTTTTTTCTAATTTTAAATAATTTTATCCTTCTCTGAAGAAATCTAATGCAATTTGTTTGATTATAGGAAAATGTTTATAGGCAAGAAATAAAGAATATTACAAGAACGACAACAAAATTTGTTATGGTTGAATTCGAAATAATTGCAAACCCGACAAGGCTACAACTTACGAACATTGTAATAAAAATAATAGTGTGACAAAATTTGTGTTCCTTCGTAAAAGAGTAACAAAATTATCTCGATTTTTACATTATTCTCGATTTGTTAGTCTTAGATTATTGTTACTCAATATGTGTGCACAGGAAAAATTGCATCAACTTCTGTGAAATGTAATAAATATACACTCAAAATCTTTTTTTTAACATAATATATTTCAAACCTTTCAATTATGTAATAAAGCTCTTCTCCTCCATTTTGGCCATTAAACAACAGATGTAACCTCTTTAAATGAATAAAAAATAAAAAGAAAATTGCAAAAGAATTGCCTAACTTTTGAAAAAAGTGCACATAAGTTTCACTTAAAACCATTTAATGCATATCAACACTCACAAAAAAATAATAAAAAATTAAATTAAAAGAAAGTAAACATTTCATTCCCTCAATCAAGCTCACCCACCCACGGTCATCCACCACCTCTACAAATGTAATCATGTTGACGATGATCGCAGAACCACCCCTCTTAGAAAGTGGTGGTGATAGTAACTATGACCATGTTCGATGAGATTGAAAAGTTGTGAAGTAAATTTAATTTAATTTTAAGCAAATTGAGGTTGAATTTAGGAAGCATTAGATGGTACTAAAGAGTATTAAAAAACCTTAAATCTTGTTCCTTATACTATTCAAAAACTAAACATCATCGGGGTATAAACACCTAAGTGGCAAAATCTTTGATAGAGATATTCACTAAGAATCTCCCTTTGATAATAATGTGCTGAATTGGCTCCTTCTTAGGGCCCACAGGTGGTGGGGGGTGGGGGGTTCATTATGAAAAACTGGTATCAATTCCATTTTGGATGAGTATAGTGCAAAAGCAATTCAATAAAGCCCATATCAAGATATGATCCTTTGCTCTTTCATAAAGAGCCTGTTATTGATAAGATTCTTGGAAAGAAGTTACATTTATTTATATACCTACACACAAAAGGCAATAAAAGATACACACACACATGGCAATAAAAGACAACTGGTACCCCACCCTCTTAATTTTTCCCACTTGTATATCCATTTTTTTCTGTAGTGCAATTTACTTGTTCAAGGTGTGATAGGGTTCAGAAAGTTAAATTGGGGTATGGACAGGAAAAACCCGTACAGCGACGAGCTAACATCAAGAATATCTTTGTATGCTAAACTGAATAGTATCGGATACAAAGAGAGAAACATTCACACGTCTAGGTTCTTTAATTCAGTCAGGGCAGCATACTAAACACGCGACAATTATGCAAAGACACTTGTATATAATATAATCTTCGGCAATTCAAGAACGCTACAATTCTTTTAGCATCATGAAGTTGTGAGCTCATGCGGGAAAGCAAGATTATATTAGCAAAACAAATGTACAATCATTCATGATTAACAGAGGTCAATTACTAATTTTTCATATTATTACTAAACCATCTATCAATTTCTGAGTGGAAAGAAAAACATATTCGTCAAAAATATTGAAGAACTATTTGGAGTGAAGTGGAGAAGCAGAGGGCCTCGGATAAGCATCATTCGCGTCTTTATTACCAGCATCCTTTGCACTTTGTCTACATTGTCTAGGTCCATTGCTTGTTCTGCTACAAGTATTCTCTACATTTTTGATATCCTGAAGTTGCTCTAGCTCTTTAACTATTTCTTTCATGGTCGGCCTCAACTTTGGTTCCGTGGATATACATTGTAGGGCGAGGTTAGCCACTCTATGAGCCACATCCATTGCGTATTGGCCTTCGAGTCGGTTATCTAATACACTGAAGAGTTTACGATTATTGGCAAGGTGGGGTTTGGCCCATTCAACCAGCTTTTGTTGTTTGTATGGTCTATTCTTGTCAATTGCTCTCCGCCCTGATAGCATTTCAAGGAGAACAACTCCGAAACTGTACACCACACTCTTTGCCGTCAAATGGCCTAATTTGAAAAAATGAAATAGACATCATGAGAAAAAAAAAATGCAAAAGCAGTTATACTAGAAGAATGCTTGAAGCGTGCAGTGATTCTGGGAGAAAAGAACGAAATAAACTACAACTCTGTTATAAAAAGAGTGTGGCATCACTACATCACTTGAGTAAGTATTTAACGCAACGACGAAAAAGTGAAATGTGCTTCAAGCTGTACCGGTGGCTAGAAATTCTGGAGCGGCATATCCATAAGTCCCCATTACCCTAGTGAACACACAGCTTTTATCACCTGATTGGCCAACCTTGGCCAATCCGAAGTCAGAAAGCTTTGCATTGTAGTTCTGTCATATCATACAAGTAGATTTTTAGACCTGTGCCCATACGAGAAATAATTTTACGAGACTACTGCAAATTATAAACTGTCAATAATATACAACTAACAGCAGAGTACCGAGTCGAGCAATATATTAGAAGTTTTAAAGTCTCTATAAATGACTTTCGTCTCAGCGCCATGGAGATAAGCAAGTCCCTTTGCAGCTCCGAGAGCAACCTTAAGTCGTAGATTCCAAGAGAGAGGTTGGAAATAAGAGCCCCCTGTTACATTATGTGTTCGAACGTCAATTTCATTACTGTTCACCACCATGCATCTATGTAGATCAAGATGAAAAAACTTACTCATAAACAGATGGTTTTCTAAGCTTCCACGAGGCATGAATTCATACACCAAAACTCGATCTTCATCCTCCAAGCAATATCCAATCAGTTTCACTAGATGAGGATGAGAAAACTTCCCCAAATAGTTCACTTCTGCCTGTATAGCAAAAAAAAAAAAACAATTACCGCTTGACATCCTAACAAATTTACACACTCGAAACATGAATGGAAAATATATTTTAGAACCACCTTATGGATTATGACCTAACCCAAATACAAGATCAATATTCAGCAATACAAAATCAGAAACCTACAAGAGAAAACACATAGATTTATAGTTAACTCTCACATTGAGAATTGTATGTGTTGAACCACTCGATCTAAAAACTTAAATTGTTAAGATAAGATTAAATAATATCTTCAACACGCCCCCTGAAGTGTAGGGGGATTCATTTCCTCCCATTGAAGCTTAGCATGTGGACAATTTAATTTAAATAGAAGGGTGGCGAGGCTTGAAACAAACATTTGCCTACTCTAGTACCGTGTATCATACCAATATGTCAGACAATCAATTTACTCATGATGGTTTGAACTTAGGTGGTTTGTGTGTTACACCATTTATCTCAACATTATGCCAAACAACCAATTTACTCATGCTTAAGATATTGCCACTTATCCCAAAAGATTTTTGACTATAATCAAGAATGAGAATTATAAATGTGATCTCATGACTCTCAATCTCTATCTTTCTCAAAAAACGGCCATTTAACCAGTCCTAAATATAGTTGGAATAGTAGGACGACCTGATAATAATAAGAAAAGGAGAGAATTTCCAATAATCATGGAGCTCAGAGCAAGTTGAAGACGAGAAACTTACTAGATACTCCCTGTGTCCTTGAAAACTTTCTTGGTGAAGCTTTCTTACAGCGATAACCATGCCAGTCCCAGGTTTTGCAGCGGTAAACGAATCTTTATCAATCCAACCTTTGAAGACGGAACCAAATCTGCCTTCTCCTAGCACACTATCAGGTCGAAAGTTCCGGGTGGCCATCATGAGATCAGAAAGTTCAAAGTTCTTCAAGTTAGACGATTGCAACATCTCACCTTCACACTGTGGAGTAGGTGGCTCTGATACTAATACAAAATCCCCATCACCACTAGAGTTTCCCGTGTGATTCCCATTTGTGCTAACATATTTGGAATTCCCCCCTGATAAGATCAAATATATTATTGAAGCCACTCTGCTTTTACGAAAAAAATCTAAAACTACCAATTTGCAGAGAAAATTAGAAGCTAAAAATCTAATCATAAATAATTATATACAAGAAAGTTCAAAAACAGCATAAATTTCACTCTTATTCATTAATTTAGATGAGCTGTAAGATTTTTACACGATCAACATTCAACATATCAAAACTTTAACATTTTGAAATCTCTTATTTGATTAAAATGACAAACAATGTAAAGATTTTACATAACTGTAGTACAGAATCATGAAAATGAACAAGAAAGATATAAAAGAGTATAGGAAGCTTATTTACCTATTTGAGTTGCACTTTCAGCTTTGATTCGAGTACTCAAACAAATCCCCATTGCATGCAACCACCCCTTCACTTTCTAATACTCAATAAACTCTGAAAATCACAGTAAAATCTGTTAAGGTTAGATATCAGAGAATTTGAGATATTCTTCTTAAGTTTGAAGGTACCGAGTCTAAAAGTTCAAATAACGAATCGAGACAGAGACATTCTCACACGACACGAGCTGCCATCTTTGTAAAATTTCATTTACATATATAAACAAACACTAAGTGTGTGTGAAAACAGAAAGAAAGGGGAATAACTTTTCCTGGATTTTCCAGAGAAAGCCAGCCAATAGCCACCATTTCAACCCAACGTGCTTTTAAATCAAGAAAATTAAAAAAAGCCACCTCCTATTCTTGAAATTAGCATGGAAGAACAGGTGTCGAAGAAAGATATGTGGGATTATTGTTATTGACTATTGCTTCTTCAATTTTCTATGCATTACGTAAAAGTGAGAAGAGGGGTTCGCAGAAGATGGCATTATTGGCGGCAGCACTGGTCCCCCTTCCAAGTTGACAGTTTCATAAACTCAAATTTTCTGTCTACTTTTCCGCTTCTCACGATTTCTTAACAAATGAAGAGACAATCAAGTGTAACATGTCTAGGTTTCAGAAGACTTTTCGCTTCATAAAAAATTGTGATGCATATAGATGAGGCAGAAATACAATGGAAAGACGATCAAGGAGCAAGAAATTCGTGAATGCAAATTCGGGTGTTTTGTTTGAATTGCAAGTTGATGTTTTGATTAAAAAAAAAGGAAATTTTAACATGCGAAAATGACGTTAATGAAAATTTTAACAGTTTATATTGGCCTTGTCTGGTGGGAAGGTTTTAATGTGAGTCAAAGACCATAATTAATTTTAATAACATATTTTATGAGACTCACAATTTTTTAATCATACATTTTATTATTTTTTTATCGAAATATATTAAAAATATGATTTTTAGCTGTAACAAAAAGGGGAGTTTCAAATAAATATTGATATTGAAGAGCACTATTTTATTTTCTTCAATTGTGACTTACAAATTCACTCACCCATTGAATTTGACTAGAACACACGTCAGACTCCTTGATTTATATATTAAGATGGATCGAATGGAAAGTCCAAATGCCAACACCTCTCGCACACAGATGCTGAAACACGTCGAATGCACAAGCTATCCACCACAATTGAGGCGGCGGGCATTTTCTACATTATTCCCCCCTACTACATGAAGTGTTGAAGACTTGCTCTTATTTGGGACCAATAATGCAAACTTTCTATTATTTAAGAACTGGTGAGTTTCTTATGAACTTCCAATAAAATGTCAATTCAACCACTAAACTTTTAATTTATCTCAAATTGGTCGTTGAACTTTAATTTCATTTCAAATTTCATCATTATACCACTGATGGAATTGCTTAGTTGAAAATCATACTATAACTGATCTTTTCATGTATTTGCTACATAGCACCGTAGAAACAAAAATTATTCGAACTAGGTAACTTACATTGAGATTCCAATTTTTTTCATCTATCCCGTGCAGGGAAAAACCCCTTTGTACAAATGGCAAAACCCTTCAGTATCTTTAAATCTAAAGGCGTACTTTATTTTACTTTCACGCTTTTATAATATGGCGGTTAACATCATGGAAGATTCATGTTTTATAACTGTCAATAAAGCAATTTTGTCAACTTGGAAGACAAAATTTGATATTAAGTTAAATTATATTAATCTAATTAAGACAAATTAAGATTTAGCGACCTAATTGAAATTTTATACAAAGCTTGTATGGCTGCAACACAATATATGGTTAATTGATGACTTCAAATTTCTTTTTGTTTGAATATGATCACTTGACATTTTGTTTCAAATTGATCATGACATGAATAAAAAGTATCAGATGACCACTAATCAACATCAACTATAAATTTCTAAATCGGGATTAATATTCAAGTTTTGTGCTCAATTAATTAACATAGTTAGCCATTTTGGTCCACAAATTACATCATTATTATTAATTAAAAATAAGTAGCTTAAACCAACTTGATTATTAATATTAGCCCCTGTTTGGCATTGATTTAAATCAGATTTTAATTTAAGTCAAAATCAAAGTCAAATAATCAATATTAGAATGTGTTTGATGGATATTATTAAGGAAATAATGTATTTTAAATAGTGATATGATTGGATATATATAGCTTAAACCAACTTGATTATTAATATTAGCCCCTGTTTGGTATTGATTTAAATCAGATTTTAATTTAAGTCAAAGTCAAATAATCAATATTAGAGTGTTTTTGATGGATATTATTAAGGAAAGAATGTATTTTAAATAGTAATATGATTGGATATATATGATTAAAAAGTAAGAAAAAGTTATTAATGCGATGAAAAATATTATTTTATTAAAGAATGTGGTTGAAAATGAGTTTTGAAAAAATATATTTGGAAAGAATGTATACCAAACGGGGCTTTAACCACATATTTTTTGGGTCCCACAACTTTTTAACTACACATTTCGAAAATTTCTATCAAAATCTACTAAAAATCTAATTTTAATCACCACCAAACACTGCCTTAATATTGATTCGTTCATCTTGCATACTAGGCTCAAATCCTTTTGATCAATCATTTAACATTAATTAAGAAGCCCTGTATTATCCAGTTAAACGCTCTCCGACTAGGAAGAACAAAAAATTATTCTCCTAAATCTTTGCATATTCACAAGGCACGTGCATTAACGATTATTTTTACATACTTTAAAGCTTATCCAAACTAGCCTCAAAAAGTAATTTTTTTCACATATTTTTTAAGCTTAGCCAAACATCTTATTAAACTAGTATGGAGCCAAAAATATTCAATTACAGAGCCTATGGGCGCAGGATAATAACAGAGACCCTCACAGGCTACAGCCAAGGCATGGGCACATAAGAATCAGATTCAGGCATTTTACAAAACCCATAAACAGTTATGGCTAAAAAGTCGAAATTTTAAGAGTTTTGTTCCGCGAGGCTTGTCAGTTCAGACTGAAAATCAAAGAACTAGACATGACCGGTCCAGATAGCGCCAGTGGATCGAATTTCACATAAAAATGGTAAAATTATCAAGAAACAGTTGAACATGGACAAAACTGGCGAGGATATGTCAAACCCAGTCAAGAACATGATTAATCATCCTAGCACTCCTTGGAAGTGTTGGCGAAGAGTATGTTTAGAAGACATACCAGTAGATCATCAAATTCGTTCGTGAAAACCCAATGTGTTACATTTTCTATTCCGAGTCACAACTACCTGACCCACAGACACCTCAAACACAATGCCTACTACAGCCTGTGAATTTCCGTATGCCTTCGACAGACTACCAATTTCATGTAAAGCAACGTCTTTTTAGGGCTAAAAAGACGGTTAGTTGTCCAAATTATAGGGTAGTCTGAACCTTTTTTAACAAGTTAGTAAGTGGGAGAGACAAAAAAAGGGGTCTCAAGTCTAATGACTGATGCGAGTAGAAGAAAACATGCCATTTATTATGTGAAACCGTTGAGACTGACATTTGGTCAACTCACAAATTCGAGCACAAACTTGCAAATAAAGTTGCCATAAGTAAAGGAAACAGCTGGATGCTCATTGTCCCATTATCCAACTTCAAAGTTCATGCACTCTGCTTCACTGTCGCAGACTTGATAATATCAATAAACTCCGGCTGATTCATTACAAAGATAAAAAAACAATGTTTAATTAAAAGAATGCAAAATCAAGTCGTCAAATGGTGAAATAAGACATGTCTGAAGAGTAAACCTTTAGAGAGGCTCCACCAACCAAAAAGCCATCCACATCTGGCTGTGCTGCCAGTTCTTTGCAGTTTGCTCCATTTACTGATCCTGCAGGTGTCATTTAAGAAAGGGAAAAAGAACACAAAGAAAGGAAAAAGGTAGGTGTTACGTCTTTATATGGAAATGTGGTATTCATAACTTGCTTAAAAAAGATTAGACAAATCAGAATTACCAATAAAAAAAAAAAAAAGTATAGCAAAAAAGTGTCTTGTTATCAAGATTGGCCATACAATATTTCTTTCGCGAAACCACAATTTCCGTTCCTCCCAAAATATATGGTAAAATTCGTTTCCACCCAGTCAAGAATGAACTCATTCAAAACCAATAGTCTCGCTTCTGATGTGAAAATAAACCAAAATTCTCACTGAAAATCTAAAAATTTACACAAGATCCATACAGACTGACCGTTTCTATCACTGTTGCAGGCTGTATTTAATGATGCTTCTGAATTCTAACCGTATTGCAATAATACAGCAACACAAAGAGAGAGATAAAAAGGTTGAATTGGTACCTCCATAAATAATTCTAGTAGATGTGGCAACTTCTGCACCTATATTGTCGTGAAGCCATTTCCGCAGCTCAGAATGAACCTGGTATCAAATACACCTCCAGTCGTGAATTTGGCTTAATGAATCTTGAATAGACCTAGGAATTTAATAAGTAGAACATAAAGAAGGAACCTAAGCACATCCAAGGGCAGGGTAAGTAGCAAACAAGGGACCCTTAAATACTCAAGTGCTGCAGACTCATCAAAAATATCCAGGAAAATGGTGTCCCGCAGCAGTCTCTAGTAAATTCTATCCTATTTGCTGTAAATACAAGTTAATATTTATCAAATATAATGTTTGTAGTGTTACGGGATGTCCCATCCTGTGAACACTCAACAACTCCAAGAAATGGTTGAACTTATCAGTTGGGGTATAGTAAGTATCAGTTGTATACAATTGAAAGGGAATTACTCCAGGTTAACCTACCCTCTGATTCAGTGATGTCTGATAGCTATAAAATTTGAGCTTGCACGAAGCACCTGAATCAGTTTAGCAGTTGAGAGAACTACAGTAGATTGCAGAACAAACTTTAAAATATCAGTTCTCCATCCAACATGAAGGTTTAACTGATCCTTGATGCTATCAAATTACACTGCTTAATTTGGCTCCATATATCCCATCACCTTGCTTGGAGCTAGTTAGATCAAAGTACAATTTATACTCTATGTCGCAGCAAAATATTTAAATCCACTGTACCATATTCCGCTCTTTTTTCAGGTTTCCATTAATATGCTAACTGTACTAAGTTGTTAACTTTGCATGAAACTTCAAGTCTAGTGCACACCATTATATATATGATATATAAGACACCCCATGTTCAGATTTCATATGGGTTTGCACGAGATTAGCTTCCAACATGTTAAACTTTCTTCGCATAGGACTTCTGGGTGAGCCAAAATATGCCAGGTTTCATGTCTTGATTCAATTTTCTACAAATTTGGAGAGTTAGTTTAGTGCGACTCAAATTGAACCATGTCTTTCCGGGACAGTCATTTTTAACCAAGACTCTTGCTAAAATGGGCTGACCAAAAGTTGATGCCAAATTTATTGACCAAAATTTTGGTTCCAACTATCATGGTGCGGTGCCTATGTATAGGTGCTTGCTCTCTATTATTGAATGCACCTGCCACCCAGAACAATTAAGTGTCTCCTTTGACTTAGAGAGACAAACAAGGCATAAAAGGTTCAGTGGATGCTCTAGAGAAAGAGAATTGGAGTGTCACTCGGTCCTGGATATTTTGTGAGTTTGAAGAAATACAGACACTGACATCTATTCTCCAGATTAATATGAAATTTTGTGCATCTTCTCCAACACGGAAGGGGGTAAATTGCCGAAGCTTTTAAAATTTTTGAGTAACTCTCTTGTCATTATTTTAGCTATTTAAATTCTTCCACCAGTCGTCTTTATGGTTGTTGATCCTACTGTTGGCTATCAAACAATCAAAACATAAATCATGATTATCAACTCATACACAACATATATTGGCCTCATAAATGTGTCATAAGCAGTCAACCTGAAATAGAAAAATTGGGAGCCAAATTCTGTAGTTGTTTCTCGTAATTATGCATGTATTCATAGGGCTTAGCAAGTAATATGCAGGCCAAATCAAGATGATCATGTAGAATTCTATGTTACGGAGATGATTTAGGGATTTGATTTGTATTATTTTTGGAATGGGTTCCTTGATATCTAGATTGTACATAGCAGAAAATTAGGCTGTAAATAAGTTGGAAATACTTACCTGTATAGCATTTAGGCGCTAGAAATCCGGCATTCATTATGTAAATCTTTTTCTAAATAATGAGAGGAAACCCTATGGAAAGGGCATTCAGACCAATTTGACATGGTATCAGAGCAGGTACTCTTATTATCGTTTTTGTGGTCTTAATCTTTAAGAAGTTTTCTAAGTTACGGCGATAGGAATTTTTTTTCCTTCTCTGTCCGCACACGTGGTGAGGTTCTGAGATTGTGGTGGTTGCTGAGTGTTTTCCAGCGCGTCTATGGGGTTCCGAGTTGTGAGCTCATCACCTTGGTGGTTGTCAACGTTCTTTGGGAGTTGCAAGTGCAGTTTTTGTGCCGGCCGGCACTTTCTGTGGTGGTTGACAATGTCTGTGGGTGGCTGTGAAGTGGTCAGCCGTTTATGTAGGTAGCTACGTGGTGGTCGGCAGTTTCGACTCCTCCTGGTGTGGCTGACGACGGCATTTTCTCGTGGGTAAGCAAGTATCTCTCGTGGGTCTATTATTTGGGCTTTCTCTGTTTGGGCTTGCCAATTATTTTGCTGTGTCTTGCCGTGACTGACTGAAATTTTCTAGTTGGACTTAGTGCTATTTTAAGTGGTTTTTCATCTCTTGATAATAGTATTGTTCGATTTACTTGAAAGAATTTTTCTACGTGGGCATGTCAATTTAAAATGTTCTTGAAAGGGAAAGAATTATCAAATCATATTAATAGTTCTGTCCGAGTTCCCACTGATGAAAAAGAATTTGCCCAATGGGAGGTCAAGGATGCTAAGGTGATCTCTTGGCTATTGGGCACGATTGAGCTCTATCTTGTCACTAATCGTCGGTGCTTTACTACGGCTCAAGCTATGTGGGACTGCCTGTATCGTATTTATCACCAAGACTACAGCGCTCGAAAATTCCAATTGGAATTGGAAATTAGCAATTACACTCAAGGTAATTTGACTATTGAGCAATTTTATTCTGGTTTTATTAATCTTTGGAGCGAGTATTCTGCTATTGTTCATGCTAAGGTTTCCACCGTGACATTCGCGGCTCTTCAAGCGGTTCATGCTGAGAGTCAATGTGATCAGTTTTTTATGAAGCTTCGACCTGAATTTGAGCCTGTTCGAGCTGGTTTATTAAACCGTAATCCGGTTCCTTGGATATTTGCTTGGGAGATTTATTACGTGAAGAACAACGGTTATCTACTCAGATGGGTATGACTTCTTAGAAGGTCTTTTCTGAGGCTGTGAATGTAGTAGCCTATGCAGCACAAGGGAGAGGGAGGAACAAGTTGCAGTTTTCAGTTGCAAGGAGTTCGGTTACATTGTTCGTAATTGTCCGAAGAAAGTTTGTAACTACAGCAAGAAAAAGGGTCATCTGATCAAAGACTGTTGCGTGCGGCCTCATAATCGCCAATCCTAAGCCTTTCAAGCTGTTGTTCAACCCTCGTCTTCTTCTGCGCCCCCCACTGTAAGCTTTGAGTCATCTGTTCTCACACCGCCATGGTCCAACAGATGATTATATCTGCTTTTACAGCTTTAGGCCTACAAGATACTGATCCTACCTCCACTTCTTCTTGGATTGTTGATTCGGGTGCCTCTAATCATATAACTTGTAGTACGACGGGTATCCATGGTGTTCGTAATTATGGAGGCACACAAACTATTCAGATTGCTGATGGCAGTACACTTCCTATTACTGACGTTGGTACTTTAGGTTCTTCATTTCGAAATGTTTTTGTCTCTCCTGGATTATCTACCAATTTGATTTTTGTTGGACAATTGGTGGATAATAACTGTGTTCATTTCTCTCGTGGTGGTTGTCTTGTGCAGGATCAGGTGTCGGGGACAGTGATCGCGAAGGGGCCTCAAGTGGGACGTCTATTTCCTTTGGTTTTCTATTCCTAATGTTGTTTCTTTTACTTGTACGACTACTGCCAATAATAACAAAGTATGGCATAAGAAATTGGGTCATCCTGATTCTGTTGTCTTAACTCATCTTTTGAAATATGGTTTTTGGGCAATAAAGATTCATTTTTTTCATCATCTGTATCTGATAGGTTCTGTTTCTGAGAATAGTCTAAGCCAANAATTTTGGGTGCTCTGATACCACGTTGATAGGTTTTGTTTCTGAGAATAGTCTAAGCCAAAAATAGAGATCAAAACAGAAATGCAATTGACTAATAATTCTTGGAATTGGGATTACAATTTACTGAAATGAAAATGACTCAGCCGTCTGAGAGGACTATGCTCTCTACTCACAGCACTTCACTCAAAATGATGCACCAGATGTCCCTCAATACAGACCCTCTTATTCTATTTAAAAGCTCTCGTAACAGAATTTGGTTATCCTTCCCCACTGCTAACTGAATTTGTTACTCCTTCACCTCTCCCCTGTTATTCCTGTTTCTTCTAGAATACGTATATTTAATTGGGGGCCTATCAATTACCCCGCCCAATTCAGCAACCTTGTCCTCAAGGTTGAAGCTAGGAAACTGTTGTATAATGATGCTAAATGGCTCCCAGGTAGCTTCCAACGGTGACAACCCCTTCCACTGAATTAGTGCTTCCAAACAATCTGTTGTCTTTAGCGAATTAGTCCTTACCCCCAGCACAGTTTCTGGCTCAACCAGTAGCTCTCCATCGGCTTTCAGATGGCTAGGCAATTCAACAGGAAACTGATGTTCGCCTACCGCCTTGCGCAGTTGCGATACATGGAAAACAGGATGAATTTGAGTTCCTTGTGGCAACTCCAAGCGATAAGCAACCTTTCCCACCTTAGATAGCACTTTAAATGGTCCATAGTACCGGGGAGCAAGCTTTTCGTTGGTGCGATGTATCAGGGATTTGCGACGATAAGGACGCATCTTTAAATAGACCATATCGCCTGTTACGTATTCAACCTCCCTTCTGTGCTTATCGGCTGAAGCTTTCATTTGCTGTTGTGCTCGGGTTAGATGTACCTTGAGTTCATCCAGCAGCTTGTCCCTTTCTGTTAATTGCTGATCCAAAGAGGATATCGGTGTAGCTCCTTTTTCGAAACGCAGCAGAGGGGGTGGATCCCGTCCATAGACTGTCCGGAAGGGAGTTAATTGTGCAGATACATGAAAAGAAGTATTATACGAGAGTTCGGCCCAGGGCAGGAAGCGGAACCACTCTTTCGGTCGAGCTGAAGTAAAACAGCGCAGGTAGGTTTCTAACCCTCGATTAACCACTTCCGTTTGGCCATCGGTTTGGGGATGATAGGCTGAGCTATACTTCAGTTTAGTTCCCTGCAAACGAAACAGCTCGCTCCAGAATTTACTCATGAAGACTCTG